AGTTAAATTTGATTAATTGTAATCCTTAATCCAGTTACAAGCATGCTTGAAATGTTTTAGTAACAAGTTAATCAAAAATTATAAACAAGTAAATCACACTGACCAAATATGCTGGTAAATAGTCATGTTTCATAAATTGTGGATCCCTGAACACTGTCATTTTAACATACAATACAATTAACAAGTGCATAATGACTTCTTTAACTACATTAGGTCATTAAGTTGAGCTGAACAGTCTGGAAGCTAAAGTCCATTTTAACAGTTTATTACCTGGACATGAGCTCATATTAAAGTAAAGCAGTGTTTATTAAGAATAAATAAGTTATGTTGTTGCATTTAGGATTTTCAGTTCTGTACCAATTAAAAAAAGGAAACATTATGAAGGAAAGGTACCTGTTACCAGTAAAGAGATACAGAACAACCCAGAATACATTTTGAGCAATTGTGAAGACGTCTTTTGTCATTTCTGATTATGGATAACGTGCTGTTTTTTGTCTTTATATTGTGTACTGAATGTATGTGCTTATTAATGTAGCTGAGACGTGTAGGGGTGCCACATTTAAAGTTCTCAGTAAAGCCTCTACAAAGCCTGTATGTAGAGCTCGTGTGGTTTGAGCTCAAACTCAAAATAAGGTCAGGCTTTTATAGCAGCACCACAGGCCAGCAAGAGTAACCAAACCTTAAACTAATAAGGGTGAGATAAAGCAGGTTTAGTTCAGATTATTAAAGACAGTGTACAAGACTGACATTGTAATAAACAACCTTTTAACCTTTCAGTGTTTATGAATGGCCTCTGTGGATTAGCATTAGCTTTGCTAAATTTACAGAATTAGCTCTGGTTTTCCACTTTGATGAAACAAGACAAAACTGCTTTAGATCACAAAATCATTGATAGTATTTAACAGTAAAACAACAACAAGCTAGCTATTGGTCAAGAAAGCAAGAGCTTACAGCTAGTGATTTTTATTTTTCTTTTGCCTTCACTTTGCTGTAGAAAAGCTCTGACTGTGGTTGGTTTGGTGTCTTTGCTCATGAAATGGGGGGTTCATGCACACAGAAGAGGAAGACCACGTCTAGCATTACACACGTTAACATTGCTACTGAATTGCTCTCACTAGTTTAGACACTTCAGTCTTTTGCCTTTATTTGGATGTTCAGAAAGAGGCTTGTCCTGATATGGTGAGTCTGATACCTGTTGTCTTTATAACTGAACTGAAACAAAATTGAACTACATTAGTGCATGATATTGATATTAGTTATATTCTATACGCCGTTAAAACCAGTGAATTTTAATTGACATTTTTTGCACTTATACTTCTAAACTTTAGTTCATTATGCTTCTTTTATGATAAAGTTTGGTTGAAAAACTGTTATTCAAATAGCATTTTATTAAATAGTAATTAGTAATAGTACAGCTACATTCAGTGGTTTCAGCAAATCAGCCTTACATATGCAGTGATTATGAGCCAATAAAGAGAAATTAATAAAAATGATGATTATGAGTCCAGTGCTGTTTATTCATTGTGCAGATTTGTTTGATGATGTCTCTAAGAACAGCTCTTCTACGCCTCTCTCTGATCTCTCTGTCTGTGATTCTGGGTGAGTCTGTACTTTTCAACAAGACATTTTTGGGGGATAAACTTGTAAAAACAATATTGCAAACTGTTCTAGCACTTCTAGATCATGTAATGTACCATCAAGTTTCTCAGAGCTGAAATAGTCTTCAATATTCACACTTAATGAGACTCATTTTCTATTGGTTTGCTGAGCCCCCCACATCCTTTCACCCACCGTGTGACTGCAGAACTCGCCAAGCTTTATGTGCTTTGTGGTTTTGCACAAAATTAGGTCAGCTTTTCACTGTAGTAGCACAAGGTGGCAAGAGGAGAAGAATCTGTGAGCTACACTCACAAAAATAACAGTTCCTGGCATTTTGGAAAAAAAAAAACTCTGAATTGGCAGAGAATCATTACATTTTCTGGAAATTCATAAAACTTTAATTCTTCACACACCCATCTCAATTACAAAGGTAGTTTCTAATGACCCAAGCATTGACAAGTTCTTTTAGGAACCATAAGTAGCTCTTCTATGGCATTGTTCCAAAGAACCCTTTTAGGAACCTGTATTTTAAAGAGTGCACAGTAACTCTGACTGTCTTATGGGCTCCAGACTCTGTAATCAGCTCTTTCATGCATCATATGTTTCAGGTGCTTTTGGAACAGAGTGGAGTGTGAAGTTCAACCAACAGGAAATATGTGCTTTAAAAGGATCCACAGTGTTTATGAATGGAACTTATACTCACCCAGAACGTCTTACTGTGACAGAGACTTTCTGGGTCGTAGACCCAGTTCAAGGTGAGGAGCTGATTGATCTGAGTAAAGACCTAGATTATTCAGGCAGAGTTGAGTGTTTCACTGACGAACAGAAACACTTCTCCCTCAAACTGAGTGATGTAATGAAGAAGGATGAACACAGTACTGCTTTAGAATCAAAACCAATCTAGAAAAAGAAAAATGGCTGGGTCATCCTGGAATTAAGCTCAGTGTCACTGGTAAGTTAAATTATCACATTTTTAAGCTATTAGAAACAGTCCATGTACTTGATTAATGAGTGCTTTAGAAGTGTGTGCTGCATCATGACAGTAATTTTATTAAGATGTTATGTAATATCCTGTATTTTTATATGTTTATCTGCTCTTGTGTATTTAACAGTTTGTCAACTGATTTTTTTTTGTCGACAGTTTGTCTACTGATGTCAAAGTCTTTCTTAATGCTATGCCTGTCATGACATTAATGTGAATTTGATTTAAGGTTCCTCAACATTGGAGCTGAAAATAATAGTACTAATAACAGCATTCTTTGAAAAAAATGTGTAATGACTGTGTAGTTACACAAGTGTGTTGTGATTATTGTAACATGTTTTCTGTTATCTAGTTACACACTTGTAATAGATTGATTTTTCTGATTGTAATAGTTGTGTAGTTACCTACATTATGAGAGTACTAACATCGCGTCTGCACAGGCAATGCCAACTTTTCTAACATTTAGCTACACTATACGGACAAAAATATTGGGACACCCCTCCTAATTATTGAGTTCAGGTTTTTCAGCCACACCCATTGCCAACAGGTAGACAAAATTAAGCACATAGCCTTGCAGTCTTGATAGACAAACACTGTCAGTAGAATGGGTCATCCCGTGTCTCTGCCACAAGTTAGTTTGTGCAATGTCTGTCCTAGATCTGCCCCTGTCAACTGTAAGTGCTATTATTGTGAAATGGAAGCACCCTAGGAGCAACAACAGCTCAGCCACAAAGTGGTAGACAATGGAAACTCACACAGTGGGGTTGCTGATTGCTGAAGCGCACTGTGACTATCCTCTGTTACATCACTCACTACAGAGTTCGAAATTGCCCCTGGAAGCAACATCAGCAAAAGAACTGCATGTTAGGAGCTTCAGAAATTGGGTTTCCATGGCCGAGCAGCTACACACAAGCCTAAGATCAAAATGCACAATGCCAAGCATCGGAGGGAGTGGTGTAAAGCACTGCCACTGGACCCTGGAGCAGTTGAAACATATTCTGTGGAGTGACATGCTTCTCTATCTGACAGTCTGATAGACAAGTCTAGGTTTGGTGAATGCCAGGAGAACCTTACCTGCCTGACTGCATTGTGCCAACTGTAAAGCTTGGTGGAGGAGGGATAATGCTATGTTTTTTCAGGGGTTGGCCTAGAACCCTTAGTTCCAGTGAAGGGAAATCTTAATGCTTTAGCATACCAAGACATTTTGGACAATTGTACACTTCCAACTTTGTGGGAACAAAGCATCCAGCATGACTGAGCCCCAGTGCACAAAGCAAGGTCCATAAAGGCATGAAATTGGTAATAAATTAAGTGATTTGATCAGGACAGCATGATACATCACAAATGTTCCACAATAAATTTGTAAAAGTTTATTTAAAATAACTGGGCAGTTCCTGATGCAGTGAAATTACAGACTGGTAATCCAATTTTTGCTTTGAGGTAGTATAATACAAAACATATATAATATATAATGTAGGTAATTCCACACCTCCTGTCACAATCAGAAAATAATTATAAAAACAACAATTTATACAAGTTTATTTAAGTGCACCCTATTAAGTATGTTTAATTACATTACAGAAATTATGCTGTTAAAAACAGCAAGATACATTTGTATATTACATAAGTAAAAAGTTTATACATGTATATTTTCATTAGTTACATAACTGCATTTGTTACAGTGAATGTATTACCAGTAGTTATACTGTTGTTTCATGTTTGATAATCTGTAAGTACACAGTTAATAGAGATCCTTAATATAAAGTGGGCAGAATAAAAAATGGACTAGATGGATAGAAAAATGACAGAGAAAGCATGATTTTACATCATGACATCTCTGACTAGCTGCAGCTTTTCATTTCAGATCTATTGTTCATTTCATTGTCTTAGAGCTCCATGTAGAAACTCCTGAAGAAGTGACAGAGGGAGAAACAGCAGATCTGACATGTAAAACCACCTGCAGTCTGACTGACCCAACATTCATCTGGTACAAAAATGGACGTCCTTTAACCACAAAGACCTTCAAGAACAACCAGCTCCACCTGCAGACAGTCAGCAGTGAGGATGCAGGCAGTTATAGCTGTTCTGTAAGAGGATATCAACACCTCCACTCTACTACTCACAACCTCAGAGTCAGATGTGAGTCATGTCATTTTTCCCAAAGTAAATCAAAGTAGTACTTTAAAAATGTATCCTGGCTTTCAGGGCTTGATTAAATGTTTGTTGTCTTATTTTATTGGAGCATTTGCAAAACTGAATTAATATATTTGACTATGTAGTAAATGTTTCAGTGTTAAATGAAAAATATGCAAACCTGCATGAATACAAATCAACTAATTATTTATTTATGTCTAGATCCTCCAAAGAGGGCAGTTCAGTGACTCTGACCTGCAGCAGTGATGGATACCCACCTGTGAAGATCTACACCTGGTTTAAGGGATCAACATCAATAGGAGAAGGAAAAACCTACAGAATTCCCAACATCAGATCTGAGGACAGTGGAGAATACACATGCCAGAGTTGGAATGATCATGGAGAGAGGAGATCCACTGCTGTGCAGTTAAATGTTTTGTGTAAGTTATTGATGATTTATTAGGCTCGGTTTCATTTTTTGAACACTCCACCATATGCTTTCTCATAAATTATTTTCCTTTTTCCTTGTCTGTTGTAGATCCCCCAAAGAATGTCTCAGTGTCCATCAGTCCCTCTGGTGAAATAGTGGAGGGCAGTTCAGTGACTATGACCTGCAGCAGTGATGCAAACCCACCGGTGAAGATCTACACTTGGTTTAAAGAAGGTGGAACCTCACCTGTAGGATCTGGACACAGTTACAGTCCTCTACAGAGTGGATCTTACTACTGCAAGGCTCAGAATCAACATGGAGCTCAGAATGCAACAGCTGTGTCAGTGATAGTACAAGGTGTGGTGCAGTAATGATATCTGATTTCTACTAGCTGTGTTACATAAATAGTCACATTATTTAAGTATTTTTAATGCACTTTGCTTTTTTCAGTTTTCCTTTATCATCTTTTTTAATGTGACATTGTCATTCCTTTCCATGCAGTGTTTCCACATGCTGTTATTTATGCAGTCGCTGGAATTTTATGTGGAGTGTTTGTCCTTGGAGTCACCTCCATTTTCTTCATACGGTATTCAAATATCTAATTTTCTGATGCATAATTCATTTTCACATGTATAGTCTGATTTAAACAAAAATGGGCCAACTCAAATGGCAAAACATTAATATTTTAATGGTCTCAACAACAAATCATTAGACAAATAGAGAACGTTAGCATGGAATATATTTTCCCTTTGATTTATTTCAATGTTAAGGTCTTGTGAGTAAACTTGCAGACGGCCTCTTACAGACAGAAGAGTTAACACTGCCAAGCTAGTTTGTGTTTGAGACCAAATTTCATCTATAGGCTTTAAATCTGGACTCTGAACAGGCCAAAACAATTAGTAAAATACACTGGCCTTTTTCACAGAAATGTACACACAGATACTTAACCCTAGACTGTTTTAGTGCTGTTCCAAAATCTGAAGTAAAATAAAGGACCTTATGGTAATAATAACATGTTCTTTCTCAAATATAGCAATAAAAGCAGAGTTAAAAAGAACGAAGACCTTTTAAAGGTAAGTAAAGCTTTACATACTGCTGCTGCCCTTAAGCTATGAACACCGTCTTTCCTCTTCCCATACTCTAGATGGCAGCATTTTGTCTCCAATTTCATTTTGTTGAGAACTTTCAAGAATGTTATAAACCTACTGTCAGAGACTACCTCCACATTACCAGATTAAAGTGGCACAAATAAAAACCTTTTGCCTTTTGACCTTTTACCTTAATGTGAATGGGTCAGTGTGGAATCCATATGTTATTTTTCCACTGGCCATGGCAACATGAGGCAGCAGCGCCAAACTGAAACTCCTTTCAGTAATGACTGCAAAAGTGATGGATCTTACCTCTAAGAATGAAATGAGTTCTTCAGAGCATATTCATGACAAAGGATTGTGCTTATGCATGTGTACTTACATAAGGGAAAATGTGATGTCAGCATGTACCTGTGTAATTAATTGAGCCAATACTGAACTTGATACACGTGTATTTACATAAACTGTATTATTGTAATCCATCTGTAACAGTGAATACATCAGCAATAGTTACATTGTTATTGCATTTATTGTTAATGTGTAATTACCCAAATGTGTAATTGGGTAATAGATACACTTAATATTAAATATTAAATAGGGCCAAAAATTCTAAATGAAACACATTTTATCTATCACACATTTGCTCTATGATCACTCTTTATCTCCTCTGCCATTTTATTGTTTTAGGTAGAGTTTGAGTTTTTACAGTGTCTTCTTTTCTCATATTACAGAATACAGTTTATTCAGAGATTTGGGCCAGATCTGCGACCAGTGATGCAGCACTGAACAGATCAGATTTTCAGGAAGTTATTTATGCCAGTTTTTCACCGAGTAGACCTGAAGAAAAAAACCAAAGCTGAGAGTTCTCCAGTTAAAACATCTGTCTATATGGCTGCTGTGGAGGTGGAGGTAAAAGAAGAGTCTCAGGAAGACAAAGATCAGGATTGCAGTGTCAGATTTCATCATTGTTCTCCGACCAACAGGTGAGATACAAGCAGATGATCAGCATAAACACAGGAAGTGTAAAACTGAATGTTCAGAGCTGAAAGCAAGAAAACTTGCTGTTTGTCTCAGACATTTTTTAGACTAGAAAAATATATTTAGTCTTGACAACACAGTGGATCTCAAGAGTTGATTACAGAGCAATGCCTCTTGGTAACACTTTATTTGGATGGTCCACTGTAGGTGTTTTGTGAATGCTCAGTCTGTCTTTAAGAAACATTCAACTATACATTCATTAAATGCAACTGAACTTCAAGTTCAATGTTAAAGGGTTCATTAAATCTACCCCAATCCTAACCTTGACCTCAAGGCAAAACGTACATCCACTCCTAACTTTAACCTTGATGTTGTTGAAAATCAACTGAACATCACCAGAAGGTTTGTTAATGATTTAAGTATCTGTAGAACATCTACAGGGGACCATCCAAATAATAAAGGGAGACCAAACATTTTATTTAGGGTCTGAGGTGTTTTTAGAAATCCAAATCTATTCATTGCACAATTCCTCTCTGTATGCCCAGCAAAGCTTCTGAAATTCTAAAATTGTTCTCAAGTTAAAACTCTACCCAGTACATCTGAAAAACTAAATCAATAATATCTACACAATTGAATTATTTTAACTGATGATCTACAAAGATTTAAATTATTAACAAACTTTCTGGTGATGCTTAGTTGTCTACAGCATTATCTACAGCATTACAATAAGGGTTAGGTTTGGGGGGGGGTGTAGGTTTAGTGTTGAAGTTAAGGTTAGTTTTAGGTTTAGGAGTAGGTGTAAGCTTAGTGTTGAAGTTAAGGTCAAGGTTAGGTTTAGAAGAAGGTATGGGTTTAGTATTGAAGTTAAGGTTAGGGTTAGGTTTAGGAGTAGGTGTAGGCTTAGTGTTGAAGTTAAGGTTAATTTAAGGTTTAGAAGTAGGTATAATTTAGTGTTGAAGTTAAGGTTAGGGTTAGGTTTAGGGGTAGGAGTAAGTTTAGTGTTGAAGTTAGGTTTAGTATTGAAGTTCAGGTTAGGGTTAGGTTTAGGACTAGGAGTAGGTTTAGTGTGGAAGTTAAGGTTGGTGTTAGGTTTAGGTTTAGGTTTAATAGAAGCTTCCACACTCAACTTCAAATCCAGTCGCATTTAATAGATACTTAGTTAAACATTAGTTAAAGACAGACTGAGCATCTACAGTGGACTATTGTCACAATAAACACAAAACAACATTTTTATTCTTTTTTCCTCCATTGGTTTTAATTTTGCATTTGATTGTTAAGACTGATTCAGATAAAGAGCTCTGGTAGCTAAACTCAGAGTGCATGCTGTATTTTTAAATCCTTTTAATTCTTTTTTTTTCTGCAGGTACAATGATGAAACAGTAGACCATCCTTCAGTGATTTACAGCAGTGTAAAAAGAAAAGCTTGAACTTATATTCTTCACTTTACTCATTTTTCACCCATCCACCTCACAGCTCTTTTAGATTAAACACTTATTTTCCCATTTAAAAAAAAAGTTTTAACATTACAGTGACAATCTTACCATGCCTGTAAAGATAAGCCTTCTTAATAATATGTGACACAAATTTAATAATCTACTTCAGCTACAAACCTCTATACACCACAGGACCCCCCATGGACCCTCACAGAGCAGGTACTATTTGGGTGGTGGATCATTCTCAGCACTGCAGTAACACTGATGTGGTGGTGGTATGTTGGTGGACTGAGAATAGTCCACCAACCAAAAATATACAGCCAACAGCGTCCTGTGGGCAGTGTCCTGTGACCACTGATGAAGGACTACCAACACAAACTGTGCAGCAGCAGATGAGCTATCATCTCTGACTTTACTGCTACAAGGTGGACTGACAAGGTAGGAGCGTCTAATATAGTGGACAGCGATTGGACACAGTGTTTAAAAACTCCAGCAGCACTGCTGTGTCTGATCCACTCATACCAGCACAGCATATACTAACACACCATCACCACGTCAGTGTTACTGCAGTGCTGAGAATGATCCACCAAACAAATAGTACCTGCTCTGTGCGGGTCTAGGGGGTTCCTGACCACTGAAGAACAGGGTAAAAGGGGGCTAACAAAGTATGCAGAGAAACAGATGGACTACAGTCTGTAATTGTAGAACTACAAAGTGCACCTATATAGTAAGTGGAGCTGATAAAGATCCAGATTTCTTTTTAAAAAACTGAAAGCAGGTCTCATGAAAATAATAGAAGCTGTAAAAAAGGTAAAGAGTGGACACTAAATCTACAAAAAAATGCTATATCATCAATATTTGTGCACAATTTGTAATTTTCTGCTAAATAGGTTTTCTGCTTTTTTTTATTGATGCTGAAAAAATAAATAACTTGTTCTTAATGGCTGTGTTAGCTGGAAATTGAATAAATGAAAGGTGGTCTCTGACATTTGCACAGTTCTGTAGGTGATCTTTGTATTTCTACTGATTACAGTATATATTCTGCTCTGCAGGGAATTTGGCGGTAGCATTAAAGATGTTCTCGTAGTCTGGCTCTGTGTCTTCAGCAACTGGAGGATGACTCTGGGTGACTGAACTCTTCTTTCCAAATGAATTTCCATCATATTCAGATACATCAAACTGTAGAAGATAAAAGGAACGTTATTGTTCAATACACTTTTGATATAAGATATGGTTAGTCAATCACAATGAAATCATGAATGAAAGTAAAATATGACATTGCTTTTGATCTAATATATCAATATGATGGCCAAAGCCTTCTTTAGATGTTATGCTAAGCTAAACTCACCTCTCGTCTTCTTAAGCAGCACTGGAATGACCCCGATATGGGATGAGCACATACTGCATAACAGAAAATACATCGAAACTAAGAGTGATTTACATATACATTACATGGCCAAACATATGTGGACATTCCTAATCAGACTTTTTCAGCTGCTCCCAACTGTCACATTCATGAAATCAAAGATACAGCCATGAAATCTACACAGACAAACACCGGGTGTAGAATGGGTGGTATTGATAAGCTCAGTGTGACGATGCAACGGAATTCAGACGCTCGCGAAAAATGCAAACAGGGTTTTATTAACATGTGACAAAGGCATGGTCAAAAAACAAGTGTGGCTCATAACCAAAAGGCAGCAAAATGTCACTGAAGTGATCATAACAATGGGCAGACAAAAACCAAGGGAGTGAGCCGAAATCATCATCAAAAGGCAGGCAAAAGGTCCAAACACAGATCCAAAAAACAATTAGCAAAGGTACAAAAAGGAATAGGGAAAAATCAAGGTCAGTTTAACAAAAGTGGGTCATAACGGGCAATCACAGACAGATCAGAAAAATGCTCACTATGTTCAAAGAGAAGCAATACCTTCGCAATGACTATATCTAAAGCCCGGGCTTATATGCTATTCTAAATGAGTCATATGACTACAACCACAGGTGCTCATTCTTAATACTCTGGGGACTGTGAGCGCTGATAGGTTCGTGAACGACTGTCCAAAGTCATATGATCTCCCAAGGGATTGTGGGCAATGGAGTCCGCTCTGGACTCTGAGTCTGAGGGAAGTTGCTCATCCACGTGATCTCACAACACATTCTGGGAAATGTAGTCTGAATCCGCCCGAGGCGTGACACTCAGTGACTTTGAATATGGCACTATCATAGGATGCCACTTTTCCAACATGTTTGTTCAACTTTAAATACTATTATTGCGAAGTAAAAAAATGTCTGAAAACAGCAAATCGGCAGTGAAGTGTCAGGCCACTCAAGCTCACTGAATGGGACGACTTAGTGCTGAAGTATATGCAAAGTACATGCAAACCACCTGTCCTTGGTTGCAATGCTACATGGCCAACTACAACCCTTTAATAATGCTCAATGACTTGTGCATCAGCTTTGCCTCCTTTAAAATTGTTAAATGCTACAATATGTCATGCCATGTGTTGGCTGAAGTGGTGTTAATTTTTCAGGTCTTAAGCAAGAATAAATGTTCTCCTCTCTCTTAAAGATGAAAGTGCTTTTTATCTGATGGGGACCGTTCTAGTGGTCTAACAGGTCTTGTATAGTTGTTAGGAGTCCCATTTCCACTGCATATTTAAATCATTTTTAAAGATAGCTCCTTTATGCCTCCCTGTATACATACAGTGGATTCATAAAGTATTCAGACTGCTCGCCTTTTTACTCATCAATTAAATATATGAAAACGTTAGAGTTTTTTTTTTTTTTAGAAAAGGCTTAAAAATTGAAATCTGAAATATTTTATTCACAAAAGTATTCAGATCCTTTATTCAGTACTTTGTATGTATCGCTTTGACAGCAGCTATAGCTACAGATCTGTTGGTGTTTAAGTGTGGCCATTGGTTGGGTCAAGCAAGGACATTCAGTGACTTTCCCAGAAGCCACTCCAGTGTGGTTTTTGTTTTTTATGCTTTGGGATTGTTAAACTGTGAACAGTCATCCCAGTCTGAGTTTGCATGGTGCTCCCATCTCTACACAAGACTTTTGGAGCTATTTTAGTGTGAACATTGAGTTCTTTTTTTTTACCTGCTTGACCAAAGCACTTATTTCCTGGATCCAAATTTGTCTGGACAGCCAACTCTAGGAAGGTTTAAAGTTGTACTAAGTTTCTTCCATATCAAAATTAGTCTGGAACCACTTAGGTGTTGTTTTATATCCTTGCCCTGATCTATAATGCTGTGAAGTATTTGCCCCCTCCCCAATTTCTTCTGTTTTTGCATATTTGTTAAAGTTTTATGTTTCATTTTTTTGAAGGAAAGCCTTACCGGGCCCTATGTTAAAAAGTAACTGCCCCTTAGCTACAAAATCAACCAGTTAACCAAATTCAACATATTGGGTTCAATATCACTATCCACACTCAGACATGATTACTGCCAGACCTGTTAAAACTAAACATTACTTAAATAGAACCTAAATAGGACTCCAGCACAGTACCACAGTAAGAGCCTTTATTCACAAAAGGAGAAAACTCGAAACTGTGTTGAACTTTCCCAGGAGTGGCTAGCCTACTAAAATTACACAAAGATCGCATTGAGAACTCATCCAGGAGGTCATGAAAGAACCCAGTTGAGCATCTAAGTGCTGCAGACCTCACTTGCCTCAGTTAAGGTTAATGTGCACAATTCCACAATAAGAAAAACACTGGGCAAAAATGGAAGCTGCAAGTTGGAACCACTGCTGACTAAAAAGCACACAAAGGCTTGTCTTGCATTTGCCAAAAAACTTCTAGGTGACCCCCAAGACTTCTGGGATAGTATTCTGTGAACTCATGTGTCAAAGGTGTAACTTTTTGTAAGACATGGGTTCCAGTACATCTGGCATAAAACTAATACTGCATTTCACCATAAGAACATCATACCAACAGTGAAACGAGGTGGTGGTAGTGTGATGGTCTGGGGCTGCTTTGTTTCTGCAGGACCTGGACGACTTGTCATAATTGATGGAACCATCACCTCTATCCTGAAGGAGAATGTCTGCCTGTCAGTTTGTGACCTAAAGCTCAAGTGCAGTTAATTTTTGACGTAGGTCAATGAACCAAAGCACACAAGCATATCCACCTATGTGTCATGTGTGTAGTGAGCAAGGCAGCTGGATATATGTGTGAGCAGACTTTAATGAACAACACAAACTAGCAAAATACAAAGTACAAGGTAACAAACTACAAGGTCTAAACAAAGCAAACAAAATACATGAGGTAGGCAGGCAAACACCACATGTGACAAAGTGACAAGTAGACCAGACCCACACTGACTGAAACAAAGGGCTTGATAAAGACTACAACAAATGGGGAACACCTGAGAGAGGGAGGAGACAGACCAGAGGTGGGTAGAGTAGCCAAAAACTAAACTCAAGTAAAAGTTTTGTTACTTTAAAATAATGATTACTCAAGTACAAGTAAAAGTAGTCATTAAAATTATTAAGCAAAAGTAAGAATGTATTTAGCCAAAAGATTACTCAACTACAGAGTTACTTCACCAATTTTGTTTAATAATCATAATAGAACTGCAAAATCATAGCCTTATCACATACAAATGCCAAATCAAGAATGTCCAAAACATATTTTCCTTTCAAATTATTGTAATACAATAAACAAAATGTAAAATAGCCATGTGCAAACTTAAATAAGGACCAATTCCTATACCCTTTTAAAACAACAGATAATAAAAATCTTGAAGAACATAAATAACATGAATAAAATACCTGCAGATCCACAAAACCTACAGTAAGTTCAAACTCTTGGATCTTATGCTCTGGCTTTTACATGCCAACAAAAAATGTTATTTTCAATCATTCTACTCCCATCACTCCCATTTTGCAAACAGTTTCTGAAACAAATGCAAAATGCAATATAATGTATGAACTCTTGATTTTTCTTGCAGTCATAACTTGAAATTTATGTTGACTGAAATGCATCAGTGCTGGTAAAATTGCATTCTTGCGTATAATGTCTTAAACACCTTATGTCACGTTAACGTTACTTGCTTATGTTTATCCTTTCATCATGAAAAGTCGACAAAGTTATGTCGTCCAATTGCCTGCCCTCATTCAGAAATGTCACAAAATTATTTCTCAAAATATCTCATAAATGAGGCCTGTACCGTAGCTGTGGGAGGCAGTGTTTGCTTTTCACAGTTCACAAATCCGTCAGTACAGTTTTGCTAACCGAGAGTACAGTTTACAAATCCGTCGGCACAGTTTATAAACTAAGAGTACGGATTACTAAACTGCGGGGACAGATTTTCCTCCTCACTATATTTTTCTCATTAGTGACTCTCTATGGGGCTCCGCATCTCATTCCAAAGGCCCGTTTATAAAAAATGCCAGCTAGAGACAGCATTGGTAAACTTAGCTCACTCAAGACGTAAACTAAAATACAAGATTAATTTGTGTGCAGTGGTCACTATTAACATTACTAATATAATCACTGCTAAAATAAAACAACTTTTAACATCAGTGTCCTGCATAATACTCGTTGCTTTTTGCTGTTTTTCAGGTTGAAGGCAGTGCATGACATAACTATTGGTTTTGGTAGCCTGTAGAGAAAACATCGATATGAGGCCAAGCATGCTCTCCTTCCACAGTGTCGTCTGTTTGAGCCATCGCAGTCCAGCAACGAGCTGAAATCTGTGGTTCCACAGAGCCCACGGCAGTTAATGACTAGGTACCTGTAGTTTTCAGTATACATATGAGTGCAATTGGTTGGTCAAATGAAGTCATGTAAGATGCTTTTGATTAGTGAACAGAGTTGCGTTAGATGATTTTGATTGGTGAAGGGAGCGATTTAAGATGCGTATGAACAAACCACACAAACAAATTAAAACAAATTAAAATTAAAAATTATTTACAAATGTAACGGAGTAAAAGTAAATTTTTCACTTCGCAAATGTACTCGAGTAAAAGTATAAAGTAATCTCTTTTAAAACAAGTCTTAAAAGTACAATTTGTTTGAAAAGTTACTTAAGTAATTGTAACGGAGTAAATGTAGTACGTTACTACCCACCTCTGAGACAGACTACAGACATAAAAAGACATACTAAAAGTCGTGAAAGGGTGGAGCACAAGAACCAAAACAAAAGCACATGGATAAAGAGCACATGGCTAAAACACAGGGCAAGAAAACAGATGAAGACAGGGACAGAGAAGACCGTGACGCTATGAATGGCTCAAAACAACTAAATTAAGGTTTTGGAGTGGCTGAGTCAAAGTGCTGACCTGAATCCCATTGAGATACTGTGGCAAGACATTAAATGGGCGTTTCATACTTGGAAATGGGCGTTTCATGCTCTTCAGTGTAGCAATTCTGCAAAGAAAAGTGGGCCAAAACTCCTCCACAGTGATATAAAAGACCCATCGCAAGTTCTTGCAAATGTTTGATTGCAGTTGTTACTGCCAAGGGTGGCACAACCAGTCATTAGGCTAAAGGGGGCAGTTACCTTTTTGACATATGTGATATAGGTCTTTAAAAAATCTTTATCTTTAATAAATGGAATGATCATATAAAAGCTGCATTTTGTGTTTATTTATGTTGTCTTTATCTTGTATTAAAATCAGTTGGATCATCTGAAACATGTAAATGTGATCGTGAAGATTCACAGACAGTTCCTTGGACTTCATGGTTTGTTTTTTGTCCTCACAATGCAGTACAAAGACTAGGTGTGTGCCTTTCCAAACCATGTCCAATCAATTAAAATTGCAGCAGGTGGAGTGCACAAAAGTAAGGAGTGGACAAATTACGGAGGCTTTTGTGCAATTTTCCCTTAAATGTATTTTGTCTGCTTTTCTTCCTGACACTGAAAAATTATTAACTTGTACTTAATTACCTTTGTGAATGCAAAGTAAAGAAACAACATGGTGGTCTCTGACTTTGGCACAGTGCTGTATATGTTAAAATATATTAAAACTGCACATATACTGTCCTAAGTTTGTGAGTCTGTGTGTGTGTGTGAATTTCCATATCTTACCTTTGTGATATAAGGCTAAAATCACCTGAATCCAAATCACAGACGTCAGCAGTAAGACACATACAGAGGCAATGAGGTAAATCTGCCAGTCTGGCAAAACAAATAAATATATATCAAAATTGAATTAATTTCAGGGAACTTTTTATGATCCTGCCTCAGAATATAATGATATCTAGAGCAACAGATGAGCCTGATGCACAGCCCCCCTCTAACTTTCAGCTAGCTGAGCCACAACTTCCTGAGGTAAAACCACAACAGAGCTGCCACTGAGTGTCAGTCAACCACACTTGTTCCTCTGCACTCTGTAACCATGGTGACAGAAGCTAAAGTTGAGACTCATGTACTCTAATGTTGGCTATGATGTAGATCCTAATATGCCAGCAAGAAAAACTGGAATATTCTCACCTGGTATTTTGGCATCATTTGGCTGATCTGATGCCGTTGAGGCTGAAATAGAAACTATAAGAGTAGAATAATTATTCAGTTTGAATTGCTCATATAAATGTGTCTGAAATATATAACAGGTTTGTAGGTGTTTGTGCAAGTACCTGTGGCATTAGTTGTTGAAATGTTTCCTAGAGAAGTAACTGTTGTTGGAATATGAGTGCTTGAGCTCGGTGGTGGAGAGGTCTGCGGTGCTGTGTGAGTATGTGAGAAAGAGAGAGAGAGAGAGAGAGAGAGAGAGAGAGAGAGAGAGAGAGAGAGAGAGAGCAGGAAACGAAGTAAAAAGAAGACCTCCATGTGTTCATTAATGGCCGTGGTAGTTTTAGTTTTGTAGCTCAAGTTGTAGCTTTGTTGTTTTTATCCAGACATTAACATTAAAATCCTACCTTCAAGGACTGTAAGTATCACTTCATTATATGTATCACAAAAAACCCTGTCCACTCCACACCAGTATTTCCCAGCATCTTCCTTATTCAGTCGAGCAATTTCCACAGTGAAGACTCCCGTCCCAGAATCCTTCAGCTGAAATCTACCAGAAGATCTCTTGATAGAGTCTATTAGAATATCCTCATCTGTTTTACACGGGTCTTTGCAGAAGTACTTCAAGTTACTGCCAGCCCAATTATGAGAGCATGTAATTGAGACTGAGCCCCTTTCATATCCATTAATTTTAAGTCCAGATGTTTTGTATCTCATTGCTGTCAAATGGGTGTCAATGCACAAAATCAATATCCATCTCCATCTGTCATATTTTTCTAGTGTTTTGCATAAAATGCAGTGAGATTCTTGTAAAAAAAGAAGTATAACTTACCCAAGAGAATGACACAAATAAAAAGCTGAAGAATATTCATTGCAGACAGTAATAATCAGACTTCCTCTCTGAAAGCTCATCACTCCTTACAGCTACAGTGAAGTTCAGCAGTTTGAAGTGATGGTGAAGTAAAGACACATGAAGACCATCACTAGGTTAAACCGAAAGAACTGATCACACGTGGTTTGTCTGAGGAAGTGAACAATGCACTTTGTAAAGTATTGTGAACTGAAGCATTAACTTCAAACCTTTACTTCCACAGCGTTATTTAAAGGTATGCATTCGTAAAGTAAACTGCTCTACACATATATTCCCATACTCCTACCATTTCACAAAAAAGAAAACAACAGGTCCAAATTAGATCAAATATTATTTATTTTCCTGTAAACCACACTTCAGAGCACCCTTGAGGGCAGCACACTGAGAAGAACAACAACCCATTACAACTAATATTTTTTTAGATCCTGTCTCAGAATATAATTAATGTTGTCTAGAGCAACAGATATAGCATATGTGAATAAGTTCTATATGAGCCTGAAGCACAGCCCCCCTCTAACTTTCAGCTAGTTGAGCCAAAACTTCCTGAAGTGAAACCACAACAGAGCCCACCACTTATTTAACACCTACATTGACAAAGCATAAACAAATAATCAAGATCATAACATTACTTCACAGATCATTAATATAATGATTATTATGTATTGTAACATCAAAGCCCAGCCTGCTCAGACACAATTACTCCAATAAACACAGTGATGCACCTCCCAAGAGAGACTTTGCATGGCCACACCTCCTAAGCTCATCACATAGCATGGCACCTGTGGTGGTGCCACACAGCTCCACCCTTGAGGGTCAGTCGTCCCAGTGACCCACACAGCACAAACAAAGTCTTTGAGGTGTGTGGGCTGAAGTCCCGGCCTGTGCACCATCCCAGCCTGCCCAAAAGCCCCAGGGTGCCTGCTTCTGAGCAGAAAGCACACTCGGTCCTCTCTCAGGGCCATGTCCCCTTGCCTTCTGGCCTGCCGCACGACATGGAGATGCTGGCAGGGCTCCTTGGTGTACCCTGGTAGCTGGCTATCATTCAAACTCAATTTCAAAAACCTTGGAACAGTATGTGAAAGACTAATAAAAACATACATAAACAGTAATTAGTAAATTCTGTAAATTCTGTTTGGTCTGTATTAAAATGAAAATATTTGATGCGTTCCTTTGTGAACCTGTAAATACATGCTCATTTCGAAGTTAATGCCTGCAATGCATTCCAAAAACGTTGTGACAAAAACATGTTTACTACTATATTACATTGTCTTTCCTTGCAACAACACTTAATAATTGTTTGAGGAATAAAGTCTGAAATTGATCCAGTTTTGAAAGTGTCAAATTCTGTTGTATAAGGTCTTCAGCTGTACAAACATATAGATCCTTTCTTTGAATTTGTATTTTGAGCCTAATAAGACAGTTTTGAACTGCATTCAGGTTAGTGTTGTAGTGAACACTGGCTGAAACGAACACTGGCCGAAACATGACCTCAAGTTGAATGTTTACTTAAACTCATCAACAACCAAAAGCTAAAAGCCTTTTGGCTCCAGCGAGTCTGGAGCTGGAGGTGTAAATCTGTCACTTATCACCCCCAACTCCCAAAATCAGTCGATTTATGGCTGAATCAAGAGGCTGCACCCCTCTCCTTTGACCTGGAGAAAAACAGGACCCTTCACTGGAATGCAGCTGCACGGCTCTCCAAAATCCTGTGGACAACTTCTTATCCCAAGTAACAGAAAGTACATTTCTAAGGTACTTGTCCCCTCCAAACTACAACCATTCGTTAGAACTCTTTTTAACTAAACTAGACATACCAAAACGGAATTTGTACGACTTTGGACGGCAAAATTACAACTTTCTAAATTCCCTAGGGATCTCAAGCATGGACCCACAGCACCCCCAAGGGGTGAAACCGCAAATTACCGCATGACCACCGTAAGGACTTGTGCTTATAAAAAGCAAGAAAACTTCGTGCTTTGTCTGCTTGATTCTGCTTGATGATTCGTGCTTTGTTTACTTGATTATCGATGTTTCTATGATCTGTAAGTAATACTACTTGTGGTATTAATATTGTTGTTGGGTAGTACCTAAATATTACCTGTATCTTTTTCTATCGTTAAGTGCTAGAAATACGTAGAGTATAACTTTGATAACAGTCAGACCCAACCATTTAATTGCTATGAGTTTAGACCATTGACCAAGATGTATCCTGAATGTGGTTTTCTTTTCTTTCTTCCTTTGTTCCTTTCCTTTTATTGTTGATTTTATTTTTTTCATGCATTGGGTCATGTTCAGAGTTGATAGGCAAGTAGTACCTGTGTTCTTTGACATGTATTGTGTATCAGGTAACAAAGGTTAAACTCTCTCTTAGAAACATGCCTGAATATCTAAATTGTTCATTCCTTGATTTTGAAAGTTAAACCAATTGGATGATACAGAAATATTCTTTTCTTTGTTTAAACTAGCTGAAACAAAGGAGGCAGTGATTTTGGGGAAGGCATTTCTCAAACTATGCACAACCAATCAGAGAACCTTATGTGAAGAGAACCTATCAGCACTCTGGCACCACCTCCAAAGGGTAGGGCCTCCAGCCGAACAAAACCAGAGTGCACTGCAAAATTCAGTGAGTTCCTGCATTCGCAACAAGTTTCTAAGTTTGTGCCGGCCTAGGTCAGAAAGACAGGTCAGAAAGACAGGTCAGAAGTATTAGGACGCTAAATTATCAGATCTGAAACCTTTGTTTATTTGCCTGTTCGCCTATACACCAGCATCGCACCCAGAGCCACGCACTGATCTGTGAACAGATCGACCCTCGAAAGGCCACCCAAGCTCCACCGTCAGACGGCCACGAGACGCCTCTGCCCAATCACTGACGGGAAGGCGCGTGCCCGCATGGAGATGCAGCATCCACGGCCAGCGAGGAGCGGAACCACCACGTGAGCTCCAGCCTTCGATCGAGTCTGTCCTGAGACGACCCCGCCTGAAGTCAGCCCCCGACTCCCACGTAAGCTGGAACCATCAATTTGCAGTCAGGGCCCTGACGCCAATTTATTTAATAAGAGAACTTATATAAGTACATCCAGCCATATAGTTCTTCCCGTCCAGGCTTAGGTTAATTCTCTAGAGGCTCTCCCAAGCGACTCCCCAAACCACACTGCCTCATACCATTTAGCCGTGAATCACTCTAACTTACTCGAGCTGTTTTGTCTTTCATTACTATCATTCTGTTTTGTTTTGTTTTCTTGTTTTATTTTATATTGTTTATCATTGAATGTAGTCCAAAAGTAGTTTGATATTTAGCCAATAAATTCTCTTTTCTGAAGCATCCTTGGTGTGAGCGTTTCTCTCTCTTGCCCTGGTCTGTAGACTTCAAATAAATCTGGGTTACCTCACACCCTCACATAAGGTTCCAGCAATAATAATATTAAAAATTGCAAAACCCGTTACAGTGTAGCACCCACGATCTCTGATTACACAGCTATGCGGTTGTAACACTTGCAGAATGTTTCTTTGCGTTGTCATTTTGAAATATGCATTGACGTCCCTGAAAAAGACGGCGTCTAAAAGGCAGCATATTTTCCCCAAAATGTGTTCTGCATTAATAGTGAGGTGCTTTCACAGTTGTACAAGTTACCCACTAATAACCCCCACCATACTGTGGTAGATGCTGGCGTTTGAACTTTACGCTGGTAATAATCTGGATGTTTGTTTTCTTCTTTGGCCTGAAGAGCACGACATCCATTACTTCTACAGACAATCTGAAAGTTTGACCCAACAGACTTCAAAACACACTTCCACTGGGCAACAGTTCATTGCAGATGAGCCTGAATCAAGAGCAGTTAGAAGCGTTTCTGGATATTGTTCACATATGGCTTCCAATGTGAATTGATAAGTCTTAACCTACATTTGTGGGTGCAGCAATGGTCAGTTTTTATTGTCAATGTTTTGTCAAAGTATTCCCAAACCCCCATGTAGTGCCGTCTGAGGGGTCGAAGGTCAAGGGCATTCATTTGTGATTTTTCAGCCTTTTCAGTTACAGATTTCTCCAGATTCACTGAATCTTTTGATGTTATTTTGCTCCACAGAGTGTGAAACACCTATAATCCTTGCAATCACTGGCTGAAGAATGTTATTTTTAAACTGTTAGATTTCTTGCTGATGCATTTTACGGCAAAGTGGTGAGCCTCGGCCCATCATCACTCATAAAGGACTAAGTATTTCTTGAATGCTTGTTTTATATCCAAGCATGATTGCAACACCTATTTAAGATGTTTTTTTTTTTATTTTTTTTCTCATCTTAAAAAGCAAACTCCTAGAAATGTGTTTGCAGGCCTCCATTTCAGAATTAATATATAGTTGCAAAAAAAATGAAGCTGATAAGATAAATCATGAACTATTTTGTCTTTGTACTTTTTGTTCAAACCATTTTTGTACAAAGTACAAAGTCAAAGTACATTCATAAATCATTGCCTTCTGGTTTTACTTGCATTTAACCTACTAAGCCAACTGTTTTGGAATTGGGTTTGTGCAAAGAAGTTTCATTGATGTGAAATGTATCAGAAAAAAAAAAAAAATTGACAAGTTTAGGTATCATCAAATGACAAATAGCACTAAGTTAACAAGACATCAAGACAATCTAATATTACACTAGCTTTTTCACAAAGTTGCATACTAAATGCCTAGCTTTAGCTAATGTGTAGGTTTATTAATATTGTAACACTTATTTTAATTTAGATGTAATACACATCTTAAATAACAATGTAGCAAAAAAAACTGTGTTTTATACAATTATTTCTCCTTTAAATCAGGCTTTCATTAACCTCCTCTGAATTAATATAAGGATTCCTCAATACAGTAAGAAGTGTGTAATATAATGAGCTACTGAAGTCTACAATGTATAAACTGAGAAGAGAAACTTGTATAAGATTCTCCATTTAGTTTTCTGAGTTAGGAATTCTTTACAGATCTAGAGGGAGGATTTGTGAAGAGACACTTACTGCAAGTGTGTGGTACACATCATCAGAGGACCTGGCTGTGGGCTGAAGAGCTGTGTACGTGTCGTCCTTAGCATTAGGGTCAGCGTTCTGGACAGAGGATGGTTAGAGAAGGTGTAGAGAGTAGATGGAATGAGTTTAAGAATCATCACTAGTTTAATAACTTTACTGTAAGAACTTTATCCTGACCACGGCCTAAAAATACCACTTGAAAAATGAGTAAGTAACCAAGTGGACCTTTAGTCTGAAGAGACTTACTGTAAGTCATGTACTTCACACATCATCAGAGGACCTGGCTGTGGGCTGAAGAGCTGTGTAAGTGTCGTTCTGTGCTTTGCACAGACAGCGTGAAATGTGATTTCTTATTGTCAAACGAATTAATCATAAACATTTGAATGTAACGACAAATACAGTCTCAGTTGTAGGACATGTTTTAATGCACCATTTGGAACCAGTGCCTCAGACAGTGCTCTAACTGTTTACCTGTAATGGGTGCAGTTAAATTTCATATACCCTAATCCTGCATTGCCATCTAGAGGCAGGAAGTAGTACTGACATAAACGTTCCTCCTGGATTACTATTGGCTACAGACAGACTGATATCTAGAGTTTGGTATCTTCTCACCTGATAGTCATGTTCATCTGTCCTTTTCTTCTGCCTCATGTACCTGCTCTCAGAAAATAATCAGTATTTATCCAGAGAAAAAACTGTTAATGTTATTTACATTAACATTAATAATGTTAAAAACTGAAAAATGTTATTTTTCATATAGGTTTTGAGATGGACTCTTACCAGACTCTTACCAGATAAGCACAGTGAGAAGAGCTGCAAGCCCACAAAGAACAGCCACAACAGCTACATACGCGATCACAGAGGGGACAGCTGAAATAGAGTTTATTACAATAATGAAATATATTAATTCATCTGTTTTTAACTGAATCTTCTCAATAAACCTCAGCATTAAAAATATTTAAAATTTAATGCGTTTTTCTGGTTTCTGAGTTTTTCTGACAATCACAGAGT